CAGCTGATAGCTAAAGTGATTTTTACTTCTAGGACATCATTCTTCAGCCATTCACTGAACATGATGGGGCAAAATTCTTCCTTGTCTCTTCTTCCCACCCTTCTGGTAGCTGAAGCAGCAAAGATCATACTATCTGAGAAATTCTCTTTTGTTCTGGACCTAGGGACCTATTCTGGAACCAACCATGAGTCAGTGGGGGTATCGAGCATCTCAGTGAACAGTTAGTTTCCTTTTCTAAGCCAGGGTGGCAGGGAATTCCAAGGGAGCCATCTGGGCCAGAATTCTCATGCTACCCTGATTATCGCACTCATCAAGAGAGCTTGCGATTTCTAAGACTAGGACTTGAGATGCCTTAGAAATACATCTGTGGGGGCTGGGGATTTAGCTCAGTGGCATAAATGCCTGCCTTGCAAGCAGGCAGTCGTGAGTTTGATCCCTAGTACTGATAAAAAGGAAAAAGGCAAAAAAAAAGAAAGAAAGAAAAGAAATACGCCTGTGCCTGTGTACTGGTCAGCTTCCCCATTGCTTTGGACACAATAGCTGAGACCCACATCCTAAAGGAGGAAATGGTTTATTTGGCTCACGGTGTCAGAGGCTTCAGTCCACGGTCAGTGGCACTGTGGGGGAAAGGCATGGTGTGGCCAGAGAGCAGAGTGGGTTGGAAAGAATGCCTGAGAGAAAAAGGACTAGGAACCAAATAGAGTCCCTAAGGTCACGCCCCATGACCCACCCAGACACACCAGAAGTGTGATTTACTAATCTGTTACAGATCTCTTAAAGCAGTCGAACTGACAGTCATGAGTAAATGTCACAGCACACTTGTTTAAAATTTCCTTTAGATCATTTTAACCTTTAGACAGGCTTCGGATCTCTGGTATGGATTATGGTGATATAACTGTCAATAGCATAACATCATTAAAGACCATCAATCAATCCTTTCTATAAATATATTAATTATCTTCTCTATTAGCCTGGATCCAGGAAGGGAGGTACGTTCCTAGTGGATATTTTCAGGAGTGTTTAATGAATCAGCTATTTTTGAAGTTTAGGATAGGTTTTGAGAAAACTAACCAAGGGATAGTATTGTGGCTCATACCAGAATGCTCGGGGGGAGCTGGTACTACTCGTAGGCCTGAAGTGCCAGGAGAAGGAGCAGTTCCTGGGCCCGAAAGCATGAAGGGACTCTGAGAGGAGACAATGCCATCTCGGGGTGCTGCCAACCACAGAAACCCCATAAGGAAAGAGCTGGGAACAAACACCCTGACTGTGCTGTTGTTCAAACTCAACCAAAAGCTACAGGATGAGGAGGCACTTTGATCCAGAAGCCAAAGGCCAGCCTGGCAGAGTAAAGCGGGCACAGGATGAACAGGAGGAGCAAGTGACTGTCACCAGCAACCTGCAGTGCCCCCAACCCTGCTGGAGATATGGGGCCACAGAGAGTGACAAGAAACTGTCTCAGCCCCTCGGAACTCTGAGATCTGCCATGTGCTTGCCCAGAAGACCCCTTCACAGCCCTCCCCATGTACCCGGGTGGGAGGTATGCGAACAGAGAGACTTTGCCCAAGCATGTCTGCCTCCTCCCTTCTTACTGCGGGCTCAGGGTGAAGCAGCCTTAGTCCCTGGGCAGGTGGGAGGGGGCTGTCCTTCCTCACTGGACAATGCTGATGAAAACTCTGAGAAACCCTTTGTCCTTTCAGATGCAGACACAAACTTCAAGCCAGTGACTTTGCTCTAGGGTGGATATTCTGGCTTTGTTATGACATGGTCCCTGATCCATTTCTTCGTACATCAGGAGGCAAAGCCTTGGAATATATGCATTTTGCCAATATAATTTTATTTTCTGCATAAGAAAATGAAATAAAATTTGGGATGTTGGTATCAATGAAGTAAATGACAAAAGGATTTAGAGACAGGGTTGACCAAGCGGGAAAATAATTTCCACAATTGTTCTCAAAAGCGATGTGGACTTAGTCTTAGCACCGGGACCCAGGGATGAACCCTTAACTTTTTTTTAACAGAGGACACGGTGTCCAGGATTGTGGGAACTGAGCCCTTCCTCATCCCCTCACCTGCAACGTGCTTTTGAGTATACTTGAAAGAGCTCACTCTCTCAGTGCTGAAGATTATTTCCATCAGCAAAATCCTGTGTGTTTCGTATGTGTCTTGTATGAATTGCTATTCCTTGTATTTTGCCCTGTTTTACATGCATACTTGTTATGGGATGGAAGGACAGGGATTTTTGAAAGTCTCTTTGGTTCACTGCTGTAACCCCAGCTCCTGGAGCAGTGCTAGCACATCATAAGTATCCAGTAAGTGCTGGCAGAGTTACCATACAAGTTATCTCATATGTTTCTCATGAGGACACTCGAGGTAGGTATCATCATTCCTGCTTCACAAATGGGGGGACTAAGACGCAGATCTTAGGTGCTGAGACACAGATCTTAGACGCTAGAAGCACTGCCGTAGGAGGCCCTTGAGGAATGAGTGATCTCACCAGGAACGTATGAGGAAGATAACATTTCCTTAACTCAGTTTCCCTCATGGAAGGCGGTTCTGTGACTTGTTTCTGTGATCTGATTCCTTTGACATTAGCATTTGTGATGAGGGAGGAATTGTACTCCAGGGCCCAGCCACAGAGGTGGAAGGGGACCAGGAGGCCTCACTTGCTGACCGGGTCTTAGGTAATGTTGTCTCCATTCCCCCTGCCTAGCTGGTTGCTATCTCCCTGTCTCAGGAGTGGTGAGAGATAAGGCATCTCCTCAGGCCACGTAACCAAGACAAAGCTGCTCATCTTGTCTTGTCTCCTCTCCATCTGTTTCCACACCCACTCCTGTACACTCCTCTGATGGAAGCCGTGGGCTCCTTTAAGTCCCCACTGGCCAGAAGAACATGAGATGCACAAGGATGCTTGTTAAATGCCCCAGAGTGAGTCCAGGGGCACAGCCTGTGTCCGAAACACTCGATTCCTTTTTCACGCTTCTGGTACAGTCTGAACAGGCAAGGAACTCAGTGAGGGCTGCTGTGGTTCTGCTTGATCACAACAAGGCACAGGTGGTGACTAATTTGGCAATTTTGTTTTCCTGCAGCCCTGAATTGGCTGGGCAGCTCTAGCAGCATGTTTGGGGTTTGTGCTACTCAAGGGAGTCCCACGCAGGACCATTAAGCCATTCAGTGTGGGATGGGAGAGAATCCAGGAGGGGACTCTTTCTAAGTGTGCGTCAGACCCAGCCATGTGGATAATGGGAGGGACCCCAGCCCGTGACTTCCTGTTCCAAGCGCTGAGAAAACACGGCCTGGGTCCTGCCTGGCCACTACCTCCATGGTGAGCAGCATCGAGAGGACTGGGCCTCTGCACACCAGACTGAGGTGCCAGGAGTAAGTGTGAGGCACCCCAGGCGGGACCAGGAACATACTCTGACCACTCGCAGGTGGGACAGGGACACGCGGTGAGCAGAGCGTTAATGAGGGGTTTTCAGAAGAGAGGAGGCTGACCTGGGTCTTGAAGGTTGATGGGATTGGGCGTGCAGAGAAGCCAGAAAAGGATTCCAGGAAGCAGAGCTTTCCTGACCGAAGGGAGGCAGAGACAGGAAGGCGTGAAAGAGCCAGCAGTCCCTCCTGGCTGATGCAGCCTTCCAGCTATGGATGGAAGTGTGCAGTGCAGCCCTGGGGTTCATCCCGGAGCCCACCTGCCAGGCTTTGACTGCCTTAGGTGCGATGGCTGAGTCCCAGTTTTTGAGTCTGACTTTCTGGGTTTGAAATTTGGCTTTCTGTCTCAGTGGTTTTGGGCAGCTTCCCCCTTGAGCATCTTTTCTGCCCTTTCTCTGAACCTGTCATGAAGCTGCAGCAGGAATTCGAACAATCCATGTAAAGTTCACTGCACAGGTGCATTGAACATGCTTGACAAATGGTAATAACTACTATATTGCTGTTTTGTCATTATTAGGCAGAGAGATGCTGTCTTAATTACTTTCTCATCGCTGAGACAAAATGCCTGGTACACAAGGGGGAAAGGTTTATCTGGCTCAGAGTTTGAAAGGGTTTTAGTCCATAATTGGCCGGCTTCAAGGCAGGGTGGTGTGGCAGAGGAGCATCACAGAGGAGAAACAGTTCATGGCAGGCAGAACGCAGCAAAAGCAAGCAAGCAAGTGACCTTAAGAGCATCTTTCTGCCACTTTTATCTTAACCAGGCTACTTAGGTTGGAAAGCAGGTGCACATTTAATCCTAGTGTACTTGAGCCTAACATTGAACCATGCATCAACTCCAGCCCTACACACTCTAGATCCAGCTGCCTCTGAAAAAGCCCCCCTATGACTGCTTGAGACTTTGTGGGGACTTCTAGATACAAGCCATAACAGACACCTAAACAATTTATTTTGAAACATGTAAGACAGGAAAATGAGTGGACTTTGGAAATATCTAGGACCTTTTGACTTTTCTTACAAGTGTCTTTTACTAATGATGATTTGTTGATGTGAACAGATCTTTTAGTTGTTGTGCTTACAGGGCATTACATCATTTATCTAGAGTCACAGTGGACTAATATGCATGTAAAGAGTAGTATGGCCTTTGATTTATTTAGTAAATTGAAAGAGTGTGGGTAAGAAGCTCAGTTTCAGTCACACTATAAAAAGGTTTACTGGGGCTGGAGATGTAACTCAGTGGCAGAGCAGTTGCTGCCATGCACAAGGCCCTGGGTTCAACCCCAGATCCGCCCCCACCCCCAGTCTAGCTCTGCCTGTGTGCCAAATACTAGACTAAGCAGTGAAGCATAAATGTCTTAGCTGAGTCAGGACTACTGCCATGAAAACAAACACACAACAGGGTAAATTCAGCAAAAGGAATTTATACAACATCCTGAGTTTGGGGGATTAAGTATAGAGTTCTAGGGAAAGTACTTCTGGCTTTCAGGTGACAGCATTCCTGAAGTCATGTTTTTAAAGTGGTTAATATCTTTCTTACCATTAAATTAATAAATGTGAAACTATGAAATTATGGCAGTAGAATTGTAAGCCTCATAGAAAAATATGTACCATAGTTTTGTTATGTTTTGAGCACTAGGACACCAATTTTAGGAATTCTGGAGACCCGTGGGGCGCCACAGGGGTGGATTGATAGGCAATTGAGCTCTTTGTCTACACAGACATAATGATGCGTAGGAAGGGGAGGGGCAGACACCTGCTCACTGTCTTGTTCTCTTTCCCTGTGCCTGGCACAGTGGGTGCACGCAGCATTGTCCATGCACCATCTCACTGGACGACAGCAGTGAGCCTGCAGAGCGAAACTGCTCTTCTCACTCAGATGAAGTCCCAGAACCAGGGAAGTGAAGCAAGGACACAGAAGTGGGAAGCGGCAGAGCCGGGGTTGGGATGAGGAGTGTCAGGCTCTGAAGCCTTTTCTGCTTTTGCTTTCCAGACCCCTAAAACCACCCCTGCTACGCTGACAGAGAGCGATTTTTTAACCCGCCTAATGCAGATGCATTCCACCTTCGTAGGGAAAGTTGCTGTGAAGATGACTCACTGGTCACCCACTGCACACAGGGAGGAAGCAAGGTGGCAGCTGCTCCTTTCCTGCTGACTTTCTCAAGGCATCTGTCTTCCTCTGTCCCCGCATCTGACGCCAGCCACGCCAGCCAGAGCCCTTCTCAAACCGCCCCTCCATGCAGCCCTCAGTTTCACAGGCTTCAGCTCCCCACTTAGCTGCTCCTTGTCTTGTAACTAGCGTGCTCCACGCTGCTTGGAGGGATCCCTGACCGAGAGCTGTGCCTGTGCTGATGCTCTTCATTCTCTGTGGCTCTAGATCCATGCCAAAAAGGATTCTCTCAAAACCAGAGGTTCCAGGAAGGACATGAAAGCTGTCACACTGCACATTTACACCGTGGTTTATGGTTTTGAACGAGCTTTCTCCTGCCTTCATCAGGATAGCCAGGAAGCTCTGCAAGGAAGATGCTCTCACCCTGGCTTTATGGGAGATAAATGAAGCACGGAGCATCTACGTGGTTTATCCACATAAGATCACAAAGATACAAGTAGGAACTGAAGTGAGGCGAGGAGCAAGCAGAAGGTTAGTGCAGATTAAGTCACTTGCTCAAGGCCAAGCAGCAGACAAGCTGCAGAGCCTGACTCCAGAGTCTGGGTGTTTAACTGAGGCACGTAGCTGAGAGGACTTTGATGCAGTTGCTGATGGGAAACAAGAAAACAACTGCACTTTTGCGTGATAAGAAGGAGGAAGAAAACAAAAGGTAACCAAAGGAGCAAGAAGGAAGCGGGATGCACTGAAACTGGGGGTGCCTCAGAAAATAAAACACTTCTTTTGCGTGGGGCTGCTCTGTCTGTGGAGAAGCCATCTTTGCATCTGTGCCTGGGTTTCTTTCCTGTAATGGGCTTATTTTAGCTTTAAACTGGCATATGATTTCTATCTTGTGTGCAGCTAAGAGCTGGTGCTAGCTGATGACCTAGGATTTGAATGCAGGCAGTTCGGTATGGTGGCCGACACATCCACACGCAGCATGCCTTCACCCCGTTGGTTGTGTTGGGTGGACTCACAGGACCCCCTCAAGCTCTGCTTGCCTGTGACTTTGCTGGTTGGTGAAACATCTGTTCAAGCTGGAAACTGAGTGGGTACTTCCAGGAAGAGGGAGAATGTTGAGAATGGGCATTTCTCTCCCATTTATTATGGGGGTGAAATGGGGTAGAGTAGGAGGAGAGGAGGAAGGGCTTCCTGCTCTGGGGGAGAAACCAAAATACTGTGAGGCTGTAAAAGTCAGAATTTTCAGTTAGTAAACACACTGTGTTTAGTTTTTCACTAAATCCCAGGGCAATGTTCCATAAAGCACGGAAGAAATTAGACTTCCTATGGACTCAGAGCCTGTTGCTTGGTTCTGAGCTCGCAGGTCTGTTTAACTTCTTGGACATTACTTGCATGATTATCGAGAGATGGAGGAAAAAATATATGATTCCAATGTTGTCTCATCTGTATATGTAAGCTTGGATCCTTGAAATTAAATTAGTTTATTTTCCAAAGTCATAAACTGAATGGTGCACACATGGTAGATATAACTTGTTCAGTAGGGACAGGGGTGTGTGTATTCTGCTGGATTAGTGTCTCCCAGCCCTTGGACTAAGGACAGTATAGCTTCTCATCAACCTCTCCCAAACACATACTTTTCAGATATTCAGAACTTTTCATAATCATGTGATTTAAGAACAACTATTTGTTGAATGTTCAGAACAATTTCTGTGAAGACAGACACAATTATAAGACCTGTCACCCACTCCCTCAAAGCTTGGCATTTGTGAAGAGAAATACAAGGGCATTAGTAAGTGCTGCCCCGTGTCACCTTCCACACCTCATTAAGGACAATGTCCTCATTTCCTCTGTCATCCACATAACGCTGACTCCAACAACATTCTTCTTTTGGCCTTCACAAGTTTGCCATAGCCTGGTTTTCTTTTTTTCTCTTTCTGCATTTTTATTTCTCCTACCCCCCATTAGGTAGGTTCCAAAGGCTAGTCCTTAGCTACCTTTTCATTTTCTTAATTCAGATTTCTAATTTTGGCAGGGCACTTTGTATTAAACTAACCTGATGCTGAGCATAATTGTGAAACCAAAATAATAACAAATACACTTGACAATGTTGGGAGCATTAAACATGCAAGAGGCACCAGGATTCTTGAGACAGAGGTAGCAAATTATGTGAATTCCACATTTACCTCAGAGTACTGTCTGGTGATATTTTTCACTCCCCAAAAGAGGAATATACTTCAAGCAGAAAGCACTACTTTACCATACTGAGTAGACAGGGCTCTTATCAGCATTTGAGACTATTAGGAAGGAAAAAAACAAATGTGAAAAAAGTTGTCTAAAGGCATTAAATAGCTCCCAAGTGTCACATGCAGAGTGGGATTCCAAGACACTGGAAAATAGGGAAGCAGGAAAGCTAAAACCTGAGGAAAGACTTCAGCAATGAAAGTGCTGGAGAGGGAGAAGGAGAGGGAGAGGGACAGGGAGAAGGAGAGGGAGACAGAATGAATGGAGCCTCCAAGAAAAGAAAAAGGAGGTGGAATAACCTCTCTCAAAGGAGCCTTGGTAAACACTCTGAGATTTCAGTTAAGATGGGGGAGGCCTGAGTCATAGGAGTTAGGACTGTCCCCAAAGGAGTTAGGACCGTCCCCATGGGAGTTAGGACTGTCCCCATGGGAGTTAGGATTGTCCCCATGGGAGTTAGGACTGTCCCTATAGGACTTAGGACTGTCCCCATAGGAGTTAGGACTGTTCCCATGGGAGTTAGAACTGTCCCCATGGGAGTTAGGACTGTCCCTATAGGAGTTAGGACTGTCCCCATGGGAGTTAGGACTGTCCCCATAGGAGTTAGGACTGTCCCCATAGGAGTTAGGACTGTCCCCATGGGAGTTAGGACTGTCCCCATAGGAGTTAGGACTGTCCCCATGGGAGTTAGGACTGTCCCCATAAGAGTTAGGACTGTCCCTATAGGACTTAGGGCTGTCCCCAGCCCTAACTGAGGAGTTAGAGAACTGTCCCCATGGGAGTTAGGACTGTATGCTGGAGTAATTCCTTCAGGGTAATAATGCCTGTGCTCTCAGGTAAGGTAAAAATTAACATAGATTAGTAATTATGTGGACTAAAACTATACTCAAACAGGCTGAAAGTGACCTTTGTCTGCACAAAAAGAACAAAACTTTAACTCTTTTTGAGAAAGACAGCAGTATCCAAAGCCTCCATTAGTTTTGATCCAGTGTCAAGCATCCAATCAGAAATTACTAGACATGTTAAGAAATAGTGCCAAAGGTTCAAAGCCCACAAAGCAAAACGAGACTATTTAAACAGAGCCTGAGGAGATTCAGGTAATGGAATAATCAGGCAGTGGGTCAAATTGACTGTGTTTTTGATGATTCTGCTTTGACTCATATCAAAATATTTCCCCAAGAATATATAGAATAAAAATGTAGTCAATAGCTGTACCAAAATCCATCTTCTTCTCATATACAATCTTACACGTAGAAACTAGTGCTTGCCATTTATTTAGAAGTTAGCTTCCCAGAGTTTTGTACAGAATGTAAAGTTTTAGATCTGCATATTGGCATGCACAGAGGAAGTGCTTTTTAAAATGGGGTGGGGCACCCTCCGAGTCTAACCTGATGTAACTGTGCACAGAAATTCATAAACTGATGAAGAGTTCATAAATTAGTGGTGTTGGAATGGACCAACCTAGAGAAGACTTGGTATATTGGAGGTAGAAAACCCATCCTGGTTTACTCCTATCCCAAATTTTGAGAGTTTATTCAACCTCTAATTGATAATCAAGCTTGTATGTAAATAGTTTCTAGATCGTCACCATTTTCAGAAGCTCAGGTCCAATTTCCCAGCTTTCTGGTGCACGTATGTGGACTCCCCAGATCTTACACTCAGTATGTGCACTCTGAGAATTCCAGACTTGCTCTCCAGACTTGCTTGTCTTTCATTCATTAAAGGTGTTATTAGTTCATTGCTAGGCTTTGTCATGGTTGATTTGTTTGTCTCCCCTCAGTCCTCTACTAGTAATTTATCTTTTTCCTATTCTTATTGCTACTCTCTTGGTAAGTCTTCATGGCTCTTTCTAGGAGTAACAATTGCCTCTTTTAAAAAAAATGTGATTGATATATAATTTACATACTATTTAAAGTTCATAACAGTGGCTTGTACTTCATTCACCAGGTACGGCAGTGACTGACCATCACCATTTAGCTCTTGGTCTGGGCTGTGAAAATGGGGTCAGATGAGGAAAAAAGCAAAGTCCCACAGTAAGATGGGAACAAGGAGGAACATTCGCGAGATCACCGAGGCTTCCTGTTGCAACGTTAAATTTACTTTTCTGTGGCCCTATCTGCCCTGTTGAGTTAGAGCTTCACTGCCCACCGTGACGTAAAGAAGTCAAGCATCACGATGTCCACTTGCGAGAAGAAGAAACAAGGTCGTGCGGAGAGGCCCTGAGACCCGCCTGGGGTTTCGGGTTTCTCAGCTGGCTTCTGCAGCTCCTGTCTGGCCTCCAGCCCAAGCCTCGCCACTGGTCATGGTTTTTACAGGGTAAAAAAGCTTACTTTGGACTCCATTTTAGATGAAGTAGATGCATAAATTAGAAAAGGTTTGGATGAGCCCGTTTCTTTTAAAGTGTTCTTCAAGCATAAACCAAAGTTGGAACATGGACGTGGCTCCTTGTGTTCCAGTTCTGCTGTTTACCCAAGATATTATTGAACATTTTCAAGGCTCAGTTTTCTGACCTATAAAACTGACATGTTAATACATAGTTCACAGATCTGCTGTGAGGATTGCTGATACTTACTGCTATGAAAACTAAAGTTTTAGACAAACAGAGGTTATTATTTTTACTTTTACAATACTGATTTCTGTAGATGGGGTCACAGGACAGTTTTTATGCACCGGCTCCCTCAGCTACTGAAAATATTTATTCACTTGCTCATTTATTCATCCAACAAACATTTATCAAGTGCAAATTATATGCTGTTAGTCTAGAAGGATGGAGAGCATGGGAAAGAATCAGATGCAGTCCCCTCTGTGATATAGTTATATTCATTTGAGGGAAGATAAACCTAAATTAGTAGATGAATAGTTTTAAACTGTGAAAAGGGAGGGAATCAGACACAGGGATGTAGTGATTATGCAAGGGTTATTTCCTCTAGAAAGAATGGTCAGAGCAGTGAAAGCCAGTTGCATTTTTCTGCACCTTATGAGATTTCCTGCATCTTCCTGCAGGTTCTGGGCTATTCCTGCAACACTCTGTAGAATAAATTCTCACAGCAGAACAGTTGCAATGATATAAAGAGTGCAGTTCTGTTTCCTGCCTAACATTCTCTAACCAGACAGCACGTAACACTTTGTTTTGATGAGTGTGTGGAATTTGGGGGCGGTGGGGGCAGTGGAGCTCAGATAAAGCAAGCTGACACGGTCTATTGTAAACTGATTTCTCTCCCCATCATCACATCACTTGTACCATTCCTGTGCGCACAGAGTTTGAGAAGCTGGGACCATTTCATGAATGCTCACTTGAGTTCTTGTGAGTGTCTCTTGAGCAGGCTTCTGAACTGAATTCCAGGTCATCCTTTCTGAGCAGGAAGCTGGGACCCTGGCGGTTATTTGGTGATGGGGAGCAGGGATGTAGCTCAGTTGCAGAGCATTTGGCCAAGCTGCACGGAAATCTGGCTTTAGTTCCCAGCGCCATTAAAATACTGGTGTGGGAATGGAAGGAAGAGCCTCTTTACGAGTTTGCTCTTTTACTGTGCAGAAGCAGGCATCTCTATTGCAGCTCTCAGCTCCAGTGGATGAGACCTGGTGCCCCCGTGCACGCTCAGGATTGCTGCTCAGCTCCCCGGTGCAAAAGCTTGACTCGGTCAGCTGAACATTTCCTGCCTGCTGCGGGCGGGTTACATGGCCTTGTTTACCCTCAGTGGTCAGGTAGGGTGTACAAGGGGCTGTAGTTGATATTCAAAGGACTTTTTACTTTTTTGCTTTTGTTTTCATTTTTTCCCAATCAGTCAATATTTTATCCAACATTGACCAAATACAGGAAGATGGTCCTAAGAACTAGGGAGGAAGGTGGACTGTAAAGTTAGGTCCCAGTTTCTCTCCGGGTTGAAACAACTCCCTCCTAGATGTAAGTTTATTAAAAATAAGAGCACTTATACACAGGGAGTTGTTCCAAGGACTTTCTACATGTTGACTCATTTCATCTTCAAAGCAGCAGCAGGAGACAGGCACCAGTCATTCAGGACACTGCCTTACACAGGAGCAAACTAAGGTGTGGAGAGATTAAAGTAATTAGCTCAGGATTATGCAGCCCATAAATGGCAGAACCAGAATTTAACCCAAGCGGTGTGGCCCTGAAGTCCATGCTCTGAATTATTAGGCTACGGTTTTCCTTTCCATTCCACTGAGGAGCCGGGGATCGGGAGAGGAAAGAAGTTTACTACTTACTGATTGAATCCTGGTCCTGACTCGGTTCCAAAATACATCATCTCAGTTAGGCTTCAAAACAGGACATTAATCCAATTTTGTAGACTGCAAAATTGGGACTCAAAGAGATGAAGTAACTTGCGTGAGGTCACACAGATGGCAGTTTAGAGTTAGGGTCCACACTCAGATCCGATTGGTTGTGGAGCCTGTGTGTTTCTCCTCCTCTACACCATAAGGCAGCTGAGAACAGCAGCCCCGAATTAGACCCGCCCGGCTTCTAGAAGCATCGCGTATGTTAAGCGGGGCCAGGTCGCCTTGTGGTGACACATTCTGCTTTGCGTCCCTGCCAAGTGACACTGGGCAGCCGGGGCAGCCGGGGCCCGGGACACGGGCAGACAGGCCCGGGGAGGAGGCTGCTCGGGCTCCCTCGGCCTCACTCTTCTTGTTCGGAAACTGGAGACGCAGATAATCGTGAGCCTGCCCTGGTGGCCTGCGGCAGAGATCTAACAACATTCGCATAGCAGAGGTTGGAAGACTGAAGTTCTGTGGAGGAGACACAGAGCAGCATGGCGCTTGGCGATGGGACCCCGGTGAGCAAGGATGAGCACCCGGCAGAGCCCAGGGCTACCGCAGTGACCCTTCCGCAGGACCTGGGCTGGACTCCGCCCCAAATCCGGGAGTTCTCTGTCCATGCTGTCCCTTGGCCCTTCAGCTGTGGGGCTACTTAGCAGAGCAAAGTTCCCCTATCTGTGTACCTCCATCCTTCCCTCCTTCCCTCCCTCCCTCCGTCTTCTCTCCCTCCCTCCTTCCTTCCCTCTATCCATCCCCTTTTTCATTATGAATTGAACATCTCCCAGTTACAGAACCAAAAATAATGGGCCCTCTGTAATTCTAATGGGAGAGACAGGCTTCTCTCTCTCTCTCTCTCTCTCTCTCTCTCTCTCTCTCTCTCTCTGTGTGTGTGTGTGTGTGTGTGTGTGTGTGTGTGTGTCCACATGCAAACACCACCAGTGAGTACTTCACAGGCATTTTCTGAACTTAGCCATATAGAAACTAAGAATGAAAGGACTACTCTTCCATTGTACAGATGAGGAAACTGAGGGTCAGAAACGTTAAATAACTTGTCTAAGCCCAATAATTAGAAAACATGAGCCTCAGGGGACAGAGCTCAGCAGCACAGAGCCTACAAACATAGGGTCATGAGTTCAATTCCATAGAAAATACGGAGCTAAGATATATTTTAATTATAACTGCAAAACCCAAATTTCATCCTAATGATTGTATTAAACCATTTAATAAAATGGCTTTGGACTTTCTTCTGCTGTGTTTCACAGACTTTGCTGTGCTTGTCAGTCATAAGAATTCCATGGTCATCGGAAGATGATGAAAAGGACTGCCCAGGACTGGCTCAGGAATATACATCAGAATCAGTGTGGACTGAGGTGGAAATAATATTGCCTTCAAAGGAAAACACACCCGTCCATCTCACAGGCATGGACGGGTGACGTTTGGAAAGTAGCATGAGAAGCTGTTGCTGTGTTGATGATTTTAGAATCTAAACTTTGGAGGAGCCTGGAAGCTTCTTTCCCTCTGACTGTAGGATGGTTCTGCCAGGGAGCCGACCCAGCCTGGGTGGTGAAGATTGAGGGCCTAAGCCCAGCCCTTCACACGGTGATGGGCAGTGGTGAGGAAGTCTAGGTGAATGCGCTGGTCCTGTTGATGGTACTGGGCTTGAAGTTACTCTAGGTCAGCAAGGCCAGAAGTTGGGGAGATAAGATGGATGTGAAATAGACGAGGGTAGGATGATTCGGAGGCCACAAAGATGACTTTGGAACCCACATGGGCAAACCGAAACCCAAGAGAACAAATTGGAACTTGTGTCTTTCACTGTCTTCAGCTTTGACGCTCTTGTTGACATCTAGAAAGAGCTGGTGCTGTTTTCCACAGACTCATGTGCGCACTGGCCCTAGGACTCGGAGAAATGAAAGCTGGTGACCTGTGGGACCTGCAGGACTTCAGGTCTGGCTGCTACCCCTTCTGCTACCCCAGAGGCTCAGCAGCAGTGTGTGGAGGGTGCTGACTGTGACCCCCAAGGTGTAACGGCTGCTTCCGAGTGACCATTACTAATGAAAAACCAGAGAAGGGAACCCTGAATAATAGTTCTAGTTTGGTCAAGCTGATATAATAAAAATTCTCCCTTGCATCCTGATTGCTTGTAAAATTTGAGAGGTTTAAATACCTTAGCACTAAGTTGAATCCAACTTACACGAAATCAAGTCTTCTGGCTCAAGTTCGTCCCCTGCAGAATGCTACCATATCATTTTCTATTTCCTGGTAGTGCCCAGTGTGCTCAGCAAACTCACACCATAAAAAAAGAAAAGAGGGGAGCCTAGGAAGCCGTTCTGCAAATGCACAACCATTCATGGCTATGTTGGGATCATGCCCATGGAGAAGGTCCCCTGGGTTCATTCCACCACTGTTTAAGTTTTTAAAAGGCACAAGTGTCAAGCCGGACCCGAGCCTTTCCCCGTGAGCCAGCGCCATTTGCAGACTGCCGGGGAGATAACAAGGAAAGCAAACCCAGGAAGCAAGCCCTCCCCGCTCAGCAGTGCCGTGTGTGCGCCGCCAGCTGCAGGGGGCAGCCGGACCCAGCCCCTCCAGCGGGTGGGCAGCAGACAAGAAGAGCCAACCCCTCCAGGGGTGATCGGCTGAATCAGACAAACACAGGCTGTGGTGAAAGCTATTGAGGTGAAATGCAATTTGATGCTCACGGTGATGTGATGTTTCACTGACTTCGCAGGTCCAGGGCGAGTGGTCTGATCATCTATTCCGAGGACAGTGGTACGCAGTGTGACATCTAGGGGGATCCGCATCTGAAGGCAGTAGCCACTGTTAATTCCCTATTGTCTTGTTTTCATTGTTTTGTTGAGTTGGGTTTTGTTCTGTTTTGATTTGTTTGATTTTGTTATATCTCATGGCATGGGCAGCTATTTCAAGGACAACAAGATATATTATGGTATCCATTTTGGATTTACTATTATGTTATTTTGAAGTCCTTTATTGCATTCATTGTTTTGTTTTTATTGGTTCTATTCTGTTTTGTTCTGTTTGATTTTTGCTATGTCTGAAGGTACCTGCAGCTATTTTGAAGACAAGAGGAGGCATTATGGTAACTGTTGTTGATTTTGTAATGTTTTGAAGTCCTGTATGACTTACACTGTTTTGTTTTTCTTGGTTTTATCCTCTTTTAAAAAAAAAGTTACAAGTATCCCTTGAAGGTCAAGTGTTAAGAGCTTGGTTCCCAGAATGGCAGTGTTGGGAGGCAGAACCTTTGGAGGCAGCCCTAGAGGCTGGTTTTCAGGGCCTTGGGGGTCATGCTATGATGGGGGCAATGGGACCAGCTCTTCATCTTTGTCTTTTTTCTGGAAGTGTCTGGCTGTGAGGTGAGGGGCTTCATTTCACCCACACTTCTGCCATGATGTATGTATAACCTTGCCACAGGCCAAGGTGACGATGCCCATCAGTCACAGGCGGAAACCTCCCAAAATGGGACCCAAAACAAACCTTTCTTTTTCGGTTGATTACAGTGATAGAGAGTTGACTGCCACAAATACACCGCAGAAGTCTTTTGCACAACCACAAACGGTACTTATTTGAAAAGGCTGCGATTTTGGAGCCAGACTCTTCCTGTGCGGCTTGGAACAGTAACGTGATCATGGTGCTCACAGTGGCTGAGACCTCACCGTATGCCATGCACACACTGTCCAGTGCTTTATGTGAACCAGGTTCCATTGCAGCCCCAGTGTGGCAACAAAAGGGTTACAACTCTTGGCAACAAAACCTCCCTGCTGACGCAATCCTGCCAGTGTGCCCTGGGCGGTCCTGAGCCTCTACATTAACACCGCTAGACGCAGCACTAGCTAAGGACTCATAGAAAATGTTTCTGAGACACGTCGACCTGCTTGCTGTCTAGAGGCTTCTTTTGCATCCCTACACCTTCACAAAAACGCTCGTCTCTTACTCCGAGCCACAATTCCTGTCTTGGAAACTGTCCTGTCCCTCCTGGCCGTGTATTCTGAGCTGCATAAACTGCTGTCTTTTCTTTTTCTGATCCTAGTAAACCCGTTTTAGTTTTACTGTCTTCCCCACTGGCCTCACTGCTCAGGGCCCCTGGCTGATAGGGGAGGTGCCCGAGGCCCAGAGAAGGTGAACCCACAGCCTTGAATCAAGGCATAAAACTGAGAATGAGACCGGGGGGACTGATGCCTGAGGTGCTTGCTGCTGGTCATAAACACCACTCTTCAGCTGGCCTGGACTTCCCCATCTGCACAATGAGACAGCAACATCTAGCTTTTAGTTTTTAAATGGATTGAAGAAAAAGAGAGATAAAAAATGTTAAAAGTACCTGGCATTTAGTAGATTCTTAATCCATGATCATTTGTTTAAAAGTTCTTACTTCTCTTGGTGACTTCATATGCAGTTTTTTTGGTCACTTAGCGATTGGTTAAGATAATTCCTTGTGCCTGCCTCATTTGACGAGTCAAGTCCTTTGACAGCCGCAATCATCGTGCTGATGCTACAGTGGTTCTTAGTTGTTTTGCCCGACTCATCCTCATCATGGGGTGTGTGTGTGTGTGTGTGTGTGTGTGTGTGCGCGTGTGTGAGCCTCACGGGAGGGAGTGGAAACACAGGGGGAGAGTGCTGTGATTTGCGAAAGGCCGTGCACATTTAATGGATAGCCAGAGGTCCCCGGGGCCATTCATGGCTTGCCAGGTGCGGTGTGTGCGGAAGCCACCGCCTGCCTCCTGGTCTCAGGTGTCTTCTGTTCTGAGCAGCCGTGGCTCTCTGAAGGGTACAGGCCTGTCCCTGGGATCCCTGCCACAGGCTGCTGACAAGCAAAGCCAGGCAGGAACGGGATCCTGAAAGGGAGGAGGCTTCACCAAACCCTCATCAGAGGCTGACAAATTCAGTGGAACGAGCAAAAACCACACAAAGAACTACATGATGAACAACCATGCCCCAGCCACCGACCTAAGAGCTTTCCCATCACAATAGGAGTCTGTGGTGCCTGTCATGTCCCCTTGCATTCCTGAATGGTAACTGTTTGGTGTTTCATAATTTCCTTTTATTTATCTAGAGGTAGCTACATGGCTACAAGCCTTAACGATAGGAAATATTATTTTGCATATGTTGAGCTATGCCTAAATTACACCATACTGTATGTATGCATGTATGTACATATGTCCTCTTCAGCAAATTTTGCCCCCTGTTCAACATTAAGTTTGTGAGGTCGTCAGAATTGGTGCCTGCAGCTTCCGTACCCTCCTTCTCACTGCCGAGTGGATCCTCGTCGTAGGTCTATACCAGTGATGGTGAACCTTCTGGAGCTTTCAGTGGTAACAAATAGCCAGCTGTGTTATGACTGTCATGGGTTTGCCACCAATAATTTATCTTTTTTCTAGTTGATGGACTCTGAGATTGTTTCAGCTTTTTTTTTTCAATAAAAGAAATGCCATTATGAACATTCTTGCCCACATTTCCTGGTTCATGCTTCCAGAAGTTCTCTAAGGTGTAGCATTAGGAATTAGTTGTCAGGTTAAGGAGTCAAAGGGCTTTTGTCTGTTCATCTTTGAAATGGCTGTTTCAGGTTGCGCCCCTTCCTGTCGCATCTGAGGGCTTTGGAATGGTGTACATTCACCAACATCATCACACAACCCTGGGCTTTTACTGTTTCCCAATCTGGGGAGTTTGACTTGCTTGATTACCAATGAGATTATCTTTTCAATATGTTCATTATTCATATTTACTCTTCTGTTAAGTACATGTTCATGTTTGCCCCATTTTCAATTGGTTATTATTACTATTTTTTGAAACGAGGGATTGAACCCAAGGCCTCGTACATGTAAGCACTCTAGCACTAAGCTACACCCCCAGTCTTTTATATTTTAGGTTGAGATGGAGTCTCACGTAGCTCCCCTTTCTGGCTTTGAATGTGTGATCCTACCGCTTCAGCCTCTTGTTAGCTGGGATTACAGGTATGCACCACCATGCCCAGCTTACTTTTGAAAAATTTGTCAAATTACTTGACATAGTCTACATTTTATTTCACCAAAAAATATGCCAACTCTAAGTGTCTTCTCTTAGTCTATAATCTTTTCAGTTACTCTGTTCTATTTTTAGTGAAAATGGTTTTATTTAAATTTCATCAAATTTTTGTGCTCTGTGGTTTGTGCCTTATTTAGGGACTCTTTCCCTGCCTTGCGGTCATAGAGATATCCTACTGTTCTTTGGAAAGATTTGGTTTCTCTAATTATAC